CTCAGAGTAGGCAGCCATCTCACTGGCGTTGATTTTATTGTTCCAGTGATTATTCTCATAGTTTGGTTAAGTTGGACATCGATTTTGCTTGTATGTGCACTATTTAGCCATACTAGTGCACAATATTCTGCCACTGAAAAAACCAAAGCTAGAGCTGATGTCCGAAGAGTATCTGTAGAAGCACCTCAAGTTGTTCCAGCAAGTTTTGATATTAAGTTATTTCGTGTTCTTAGTTTACCGGCTGCGTTTGTAAGATGACTTTTGAAAGTGAGTGTTCTATCAAGTGTGACGCCTAGATATTTGGGGTTGTTGTTATGTTTGATAGCTGTGTCATTTAGAGTTACATTGAGATTATCGCCCACAAGTTGATTTGACAGGTGAAATAGACAGGTTTCAGTTTTGCTTGTGTTAGGACGTAAGCGCCAGTTCTTAAAATAGTTACTTAGTGTAGATAAGTCCTCGTTTAGAGCTCGTTCTCCTGCTTCTTTACTATTATCTTGGAAGCCAATGGCCAGGTCGTCAGCATAAGCAAATTTTCTCGATTTTGTTTCAGGTATATCTGCTGTATAAAGGTTAAATAATAAAGGAGCTAGCACTGAGCCTTGAGGTAAGCCGTTGTTAAGTTTCCTAACGTTACTCTGTGCATCATTCATATATACCTGATACCAGTCTGTTAGTCAGTAGATTGTTTATCAGCTGACAAGTTTTGAGGCAAGGTATGATTTTCATCAGCTTATAAATAAGGCCCTCTCTCCACACCGTTTCATAGGCAGCCGTGAGATCTATAAATGTTATGGCAGATTTTTCGCGTCTTTCAAAGCCAGCTTCAATAAATGTAGTTAAGGACAGCACTTGGTCACAGCAACTTCGTCCTCTTCTAAATCCAGCTTGTTCACTTGGTACAGCATCCTCAAGGATGTTACATATTCGGTTATATAAAAGTCGTTCTAGTAATTTATAACAGCAACTGGGTAAGGCAATAGGCCGGTAACTTTCAGGCAGCTTGTTGTCTTTGCCAGGCTTCTGGATTGCAATAATTTTTGTTCTTTAGAATTCTGGAGGTAGCACAGTTGTATTCACAATGTCGCTAAAGAATTTTTTGAGCCACTGTCGTGTTTTTGTACCAGTGTGGACAATAAACTCAGGATACATTCCATCGAAGCCTGCTGCTTTTCCTGTTTTAGTTTGGTTAAGCGCTTCGTTTATTTCATCCAATGAGAAGGCACGTGAGTATTCTAATGTTGCGGGAGTATTTGCTTTAAGTTGTTTAAGAGCTCTTTTTACGGTAGATGTATGAGTTTTCTCAGATGGAGCTCGGGAGTTCTCAATTATTCTATTGGCTATTTTATTTGGCTCAATTATTGATCTGTTTAAGTGTTGCGCTCTGCTTGCTTCGCCCAGTTTGCGGATCAGTCCCCATGCTTTTCGACTGGAACGTGAGAAATCAATATGTTCTACGGTAGACTTCCATTTATTAAGTCTTGTTGAGTCCAGTGACTTCAGTAAGTTGTCACCAATTTCGGGATCTTCTGATTTTAAAAATTCGTCATATAGTTTTTGGCTTTCTTTCGTCCAGCCTGGGATGTACTCCTTTCGGAAACCTCGGGGGATATGTTTTTTGGCGATAGAGATAACCATTCATAAAAAACGGTGATAGTTGTTGGCCTTTGGGTCAATGAAGCGAATGCAGGTGTCCAGCTCTTTGGTGAATTCGGGCCAATTTCCTTTGTTAAAATTCCAACGGGGTCTCGGCGTGGATTCAACGATAGAAATTTGTATGCCTAGTTTGATTATGAACAGGTCAATGTTGGCTGTGAGGGAAACTGGGAAGTACAGTTCGAGAGCTTGGGAGTGGTTGCATCTGTGAGTTAGTGGAAACCCAGCATAGATCAGGGTTGTAGCCTTTGCGCCATCTTCTAGAAAAAAAGGTAGTTTTTCAATTTTCAAAATAAAAACTTTATTGCCATCGTAGAAAAAGAAAGCTTCGCAATAAGTTTCTTTACAAACATTGCAATTAAAGTCATTGTCTTCTTCTTTACACCTAGCACAAGCTTCACGTCCCCATTGTAAACAGCTCGAATACTTTCTTATCTTTCATTTTCCCTTTACTTGAAGTATAAGTCCCAGCAGAAAAGGCAATCAATATCACTCACGTCACTGTTCTAGTCATTAAATAAAGCAGGCTTCGCTGATTTTGATTTCGTTTTCTGCTTTCCTTTCAATTTTTCTTTGCTTCCTTCAATCCTCTTGTTACTATTTTTTCCTTTTTTTAGTTCCAGCTTTATTTTCTTAAACCTTTCCTTTTCTTCTTTTTTTGATGTTGCGGCTACTAGTTCTATCTTGAAAGGGCTTGAGATCAAAACTGCAGCTGTTCCTTTTTTTTGCTTATTTTTGTTTGATAATATTTACTTTAGGGATTGAAACAATATCCTGTGAGCTTACAGTTAAAGTATAGTACCTCTTGCCCTTGGAGTTGCTAATTAAATTACATAAAGTTCTGAAATAAGTTAGTAGATTGGGCTGGAATGTTGAAGTACTTGGCTTTGGCGAATCTTTAGAGATTGGAACAAATGTAGAGTTTGTTTTTCCAGATGCTACAGTGACATTTTTTCTGTGGTTATTAAATAATATAAGCACTGTAGTGTTGGATGCAGAGGTTGCTGGTCGGAAATCTATCTCTTCAGAAGGCAGGTTCTCATTACTTGCAAGTGGTGTCTCTTGACGTCGAGGAATATTTTTTTGCGGTTCTGCCAAATCTTTTCCTGACATTACAGCAGAAGTTTCCTCTTGGTATTCCACACCCGTTCTTGATTTTGAGCTTCTTAAAGAGAGATAGATTCCTGTAAGGAAATTTATGTGGTCATGGATGCAGCAAAATCCGCGACAGTAAATTGCTGTCTGTTTATAGGAACTATGACATATTTTCCAAAACCCCTTTACCGTAATAGTTGGAGTAGCTGCAAATAAAAATTCCTCTCCAAGAAGTTTAGATACCTGATACTGTGTCACTAATGTACTAGGATTTTTACTCAAGAATCTTTCGATCGCTTGGACATAAGTATTGAAGGTCCCCATGAAAGAAACATCGAGTGGCTGCAGCTTATGACTGCCGTGGGGGAAGGGGAATGTAAACTACAGTTGTGTGATTTTTTCTAGTCCTTTCAATGAAATCTAGACGTTTTGTATGGGTGTAATGTCCATCAAGTATGAGCAAAACTCTCCCGTTTTGAAGTTCCCTTTCATCGGCTGTCTGGGGAAGATGATAAAAGGAGGAATAAAAACTCTCCAAGCTGTGAAGACATTGACAAACAGTCATAAGTTTAGTTTCTTGTTGTTTTTGAACATCTTTCAAAATGTCAAAAAACTTGGATACATTCGTTTTGTTAAATTCTTGTACCCTTGCTGCTGAAGTTGCCTCCGATTTCTTAACACAAGCTCAGGATGGCGCTTTCTGAACCCAGTTACCCAATCTTTTCCTGCTAATTTTATTTTTATTGAATCTATGGAGGATGTTATTCCGTTCAGCCAGTTGGTAAGCAAGGTTGCGCAGATCTGCTGCAGTTATTCTAAAAAAGCGTACCTCGATCTCCGGGAGATAATTTACCAACTGCTGTTCTTGTTCTTTGTTGAAAAGAGCTCGAAAATGACCTAATATATTTTTATTGTCAGTGGCGTCTTGATTTTAATTTAGTACGCGACGTTTAGCAGCATTTATTCTTTTTATTTCTTTATTTGGGATATGATCAAGTCTGAATATTCGACACGATCTTCTTAGATAGTCCATTTCTACTACTTCCAGTTTCTTCTTTTCTTTCGCCGTTACTTGCCAATCTTCAGATCCCTACGGCCAAAGTGGATCTACAAACGACTTGTAAATTGTTAATGTTGTTCGTAAACTAATTTAAGAAAACTAAAGTAATGAGTTTTGTATTCATACCACATTTCTACCCTATTGTATTTTTTGCAGAATGTCCCGTTTCGATTGTTTTTTCTTTGCTATCACTTTCCCAGTTATTTATATTCTTTGCATATTTTATACCTATAATCGAGAGTTGTGAACCTCTTTTTTCGTACTTTATTCATAATATATTCAGTTTTGTTAAATTCTAATATGGAGACTCCAATTTTCGTATTCTTCGGTTAGCTTTCGAGTCATACAATCCATATCTTCCTCATCATTTGGCATAATTACTTGAATCGTATGTGAAGAAGAGATTTGATATATACGCGTTCCCATGTTCTATTTCCGTCACTGTGCACTTTTTCCTCTAATTGTTTAATGCCATTAATTATAACTTGTTATATATTTATCCTTAATTTTATTTAATTATTTTCACAATTTTTTTTTCTGATATATGACGCATATATCTAGTCTTTAATATTTAAACTCGCAATTTAAAAAAGAAAAAATAGCTATCCAAACTTTGTGGAATACATATTCGGTTGTAGCCATTTTTAATTCCTAACTACTGAAAATTCACCCGCTTGAGTCGAGTTTGCACAATGTTTGGTCGCTAGAAGCGCAAAACTACCCCGCCTCTTCACACTTCAAAATTTAATTACCAAGGTGAACTTTCGAGCGTCCTCATTGCTTCCCTTAAAATAATATTTATTAGTACCGGCGGCACCGACACCTAATTATTTTTCTATTTTAGCAACATGCATGCAATATATATTTATATATATATATATATATATATATATTAATATATATATATGTATATATGTATGTATATATATGTTATATATATATATATATATATATATATATATATATATTATATATATATATATATATATGTATGTATATATATGTATTCCGCTAATCAGCTTATGGTAGACGGTGAAATTTTTCAACAAAAAAACCTTCAAGAGTTTTATTTGCCTTTTCTCTCTTCTTATATTATCTCTTAAATCATTTTTTTGCAATCAGTTCAAATTATTTCAGCCTGAGTATTGACTAATGGGTGTAGGCTTTCGCCTAATAATAAAGCAATATTATACAAAAAATGTTTATTTTTTGAAAACAAATAACAAAATACATAAAAGTATAATAAATAAAAAATTGCCTATGAATTACTTCTACATAGTCAAAAACAAATACAAAGAAAAGTTTATTTATTTAAATATTAAGTCACCTATCCATGTTAGATCTTCGTCCAAATTTCTGTATCTTTAATTAAAGCTTACCATAGCTACAACTATTTTAATTTTTAAGTAGTTCCTATTTCTTTAAAATAAGATGGTTATGTTGAAGAACACAAGTTGTTGGTTTTTAAATACTTAAACAATAAAAATAATTTATTTATGCCCGACTCTTCTTAATTAGCGGCTTAACCGTTAAGTAAATACTGTTTAAAACTTCTTCAACCGTTGGGTTTCCGTCTATCACTACAACTCCTGGATTATGCATCCTTTTGTAGGCGGTAAGCATGCTGAAACAAAACATAGTTTAAAAATTTGAAACAATAATAATAATGTGAAGTAGCGCAGGATTATCAAAAGGGTATACAAAAAACCTACGCCAAACAAGATAGTAACAACTACTGTGAGAAGCAAACAACAAAAGTTCTTGAAAATCACAAACACTATAAATGAAGCAACGTCGAAGAATTTACCAAGAACAAAAAGATTTAGAAAAATTCCCTGGTTCGGTGACAAATGTGGAACAGAGTTAAAAAAAGATCAGATTTAAGATTATCTCACTTATCTTGAGATAAGTTTACGATCGCAAAAACAGGACGACATAAAAAGGTATGCCAAATAGCGCATTGAAGAAAATGACATGAAAAATGAAATAAAAAATGTTTACAATCATAGAACAAGCGGCAAAACTGAAATGGAAATGGGCTGGACACAATGAACGTCTCCAAGACGGACGATGGAACAATGCCATCGGAAAGTGGCGTCCATACAATGCAAAGAGATCAAGAAGCAGACCACAGATGAGGTGGAAAGATGACATCAGGAAACAAGGAGGTCCCATATGGCAGAGAACAGCTCAAGATAGGGAAAGATGAAGAGAACTGGGGGAGACCTATATCCAACAATGGAAGGATAGAGGTTCATAGATAGATAATAGGTCCAAAAAAAACATGCATTAAAACTGGGTATCAGGGAAGAACGATCAATGTAAAAAATAGGCAAGGTAACCTGATAGTGGACGAAGACCAAATATGTGAAAGGTGGAAAGAATATTTCGAAGAGATGCTAAATGACGTGTTCATAAACCTAAAGAGAATAAATTGAAGAAATAATAAAAGATATGAAAAAAATCAAAAAAGCCCCGGGAAGAGCGGCATTGTGGCAGAGAATATAAAATATGGGGGAGAGGACTTATGAAGAAATGCCTAAAGAATGGAATAAGTCGATTATAATTCCTATACACAAAAATATACACATTGAAAATATTTCTACGCATCATCCACAGTAGAATCAGAGATAAATGTGAAGAAGACCAGGATGAAACATAATTTGGCTTCAGAAATGGACTGGGAACTCGGGACGCCCTCTTTGTACTAAATGTATTACTATGTATTACTTACTGTGAGAGGAAGAGAGGACATTTTTTCAAAAACTTGGTAAAACTCTCTGGTTTTTCTATACCTCCAGTTTCTTTTCTTCGTTTGTTTAATCTCTGCTGTCGGATGTCTTCATCTACATTTAGTAGTAAAACTATATCTGGTTTGAGTAAGTCGTCTGGCCAATTAAACACTTTGTCACCTTTTGGTGGAAACTGGTACTTTTCTGGATAATTGTTAACTGCAGTGGAAATAGCAAGTGCAGCATACGAATGCCAGTATCTACAGAAATAAAAAAAATTTAATAACTTAATACATTAGATCATTAAAAGCTATAAAATAAGTGTATACTTGTTTTTACTTAATATTGGGGGACATGAAAGGTCCTCCACGTAGACTACGATCACATGTGAAAGCAATTGAGCGTCCCCTGGAAACAAGTAATGTCGGCTAATCCTTTCACCACCGGTGCACCAACACAGGTGTAAACGCAACCAAAACGGTTTTTGTGAGAGTCATTTTTGATGACTACTTCAATTAATATTGAAGGACTATCAGCAAATAAAGAAGATCTATGGTCTAATATGTGCAGAGAAAACGTTGTCGATGTCCTACTGACGGATACCGACATAGTTTCCACATCTCTAAAACATTGAAATGACATCGAGATCCTCACAGTGGAACTAAAGTCTTGTAGGGTAACGTCCATCTACAAACTGCAAAACGCTGACTTTGTTTTTGAGGAACCGCATAACTTTCAATCACAGCAAATAAAATTCATACTAGGTGACTTCAACTGTCACAGTATCACGTGGGGGTATAACAAAACAGACTCAAATGGTAAAGAACTAAAAATTGGGCTGAAAACATGAACCTCACACAATATATTTGTCAGCGACAGAATTGGAGACCAGGTGCAAAAAGTGGTGGAAGCGCCTTTCCAAAAACACATTACAGACCAATAACTTGCCTTTTGGACAATGCAATCAGATACGAAATTTTTCCTTTCAGGAGAAGGTTCAATTATACTAAAGCAAAATTGAAAAATTCGCTGAAGCATTAAATTAAGAAGTTTCCCAGCTAGAACCGTGCTCTAATTCATACGATAATGTTCGTAGATAAAGTACAAATCGTAATATAAATATCACGAAAATATATTCCTAGAGGTTGCCCAATCGAATACATAGCGTGGCTAAATGAAAAATCTAAACCCCTACTTAAAAGATACGAGCAGCTATATGAAGACGATCCCTTTTCTAAAGCAATAATATATGCCAGGGAAGAAGTGCTACATGCAATATCCGCCAACAGAACGGACTGGTGGTGCAAGCAATGGTAAGACGACATCAAGGAAGAACAAAGTAAGAGTACAACGAAATATCGACGAAGAATCTACTACGAAAGACAAAGACTCTACGAAATATCGAATGTTCTAGGTAGTTCAGTTTATCTGGAGGAGATGAGAGGTATGATCCACCAAATGAAAGATAATATAGCAGCTGGCCTATGCAATATACGAAAAAACAAATAAAGCATTTTGGACCAAAAACCCTAGAGTAGCTCGTAAAATTAGTGAACTGTTGCGTCTATACATTCCAAATCCCCAAAATCTGGAGGAAAGCTCGTCCAGAGAGCGGTTGCCCTTTTAAAACCAGAAAAGGATCAATGATTTTTAGACCTGTCTCTCTTTTAATGTCATTTTTTCAAGGCGCTCGAAAGAATGATACTGAACCGGAACAAGCAGAGTTTAGACCCGGAAAATGCTGCTGCAGTCAAACTTTTATTCACAGCCAACATATTAAAGATGGTTTTAAACAGAAACAAATAACAAAAGTAGCGTTTATAGACCTGACTACCGCCTATGACAACAGTTAACTGCCCCAGTGGCGCTCCGTTCGGCTCGCAGAGATAAGAATACGGCCGAGACTAGAAGACCCTGCCTGTCGTAAGAGGCAACTAATGGGCGGAAATGAGAGGTGGAGAGGCGTCGTTGGAGATATCGGGTTGGTAGAAATGCACTCGAGATGCATAGCCATCTCGGTCACCGGTCTACATTCCTAGTATCCGAAACGAGCATCTCGTGGGACCACTCTACTCTCATTTCCACAAGAGCCAGGTAAGGTTGAACAAGCTGGGACCGTAAATACCTCCCACGGCCTTATGGTGGTGTGGAGACCCGGCACGTACCCACCTGGAATGATTTACGAGTGGTAGTCTGAGTAGTGTAGTGACCTGTCTACGTGCGAAGTGGAATTCCTCCGCCTTCGACGCCTTTCTTCCCTCTGGGGGAGTTAAGGACGTGTGACGTATTTGCAACACAGGTACTACGGGGGAGGTGGAGCCCCACGATGTTTCGGCATCGTGCCACCTCCAATTGGTGTCTGACTCCTAGGTGCAGCGAATTCGCTAATGGCCGTATGCCGAAAGGTTAGGTAGACCAAGGTCCTGACAATTTTATATTGGAGGGCACAAAGCTTAGCAATGCCCCAGTGGTGGGGCACAATAAAACAAGGTTTTTGATGCTACTATAAGTCTGTTGCTAGTACCGAAGTGCATATTTTAAAACACAATTAAAACTGATATAGATTTCACACTACATGCAAAAACAGAAAAAATAAAAAACAAATTTGTGTTTCATTGTATCCCGTAGTCCCCTGTATTATATATTTGGAATCAAAAATTAAAATAATACGTCGTATTAATAATTTAAGGACGAAGAATCTTATTATTATTGTTGAACCTTGAAAACAGTTTTAGATTTCGTAATATTTTGCATCAAAATCTTCAACATAAATGTCTTGACTTGATAACCTTGCCCAGAACTGATGTTTGATTTGCTTCAAGTGAAAACGATAAAAAATAAAAATTTTAATTTTGAGAAATCAGGACCGGACAAAAAGTGAAACTGTAAATTGTAAATTGAAATTGAAAGAAAATTATAATAAAAAATAATTAAAAACGGAGTGTATATGCAATTTAAGAATACTGAGACTACCATATGCTGTCTTGTGACCAATAGAAAGAAACTATAGTATGTATGAGTGTGTACGTATGGGAGTACTTATGTATGGGTGCATGGTGTATTAGGAAGACTTTGTGTCACAGATATCAAAACGTAGCAGTAAACTACATGTAAATAGATAAGAATCCAGTACCAAAAACTTATCAAACAAAAGCAATATTCTTACATTCAAAATAAAACAACTAATAAGGATTGCTAAAGTGAAATTAAAAGATAAATTCAATAAAAGTAATACAGCTTCCCCCAGTTATTTACACACTCAATATTTCTCTACCTTGAAGCTACACATGATGTTACTTTTATCAACGCCCTGTTTACTCTAAATGAACTAAAATTTGCCTTGCTTGCTGCTGGTCCCGATGATATTTATTATATATTTTTATAAAATCTCTCCAATACATGTCTCTCCAATTTCGTCTAAATCTATAACCTTTTATATATAACCATTTGTTCAGATTTCCTTTTATATATTGAATGGATATCAACACAATTTTGATCTGACCACCTATTATTTCAAAATATTTATGACATCTACCAAAATTTCTCTGCTTACGATGTAACAGTCTCTTTTATGTCGCTTCACTTTCGTACTGTAATTACTGGTAATGAAACGGCAGATTATTCTGCCAAAGAAGCTATCAAACAAAGTGCAGGAATAACCAAAATTTTACGAACCAACAATCTTTAATTTGCTTTCAAAAAGTCAGTAGCAGATAACCGGGAGAACTTATGGCAAAAGAGCAAAACAACTCCTCATGAACTTCAACCGTTTATTGGTCATGTCTTCTTAGACTTCTCAACTGGAAGAGAAGCATCGATTGATTAGAAAACTTTGTAATTTCTCATTGTAATTTCCTCATAACGTCTTCCAAAGCGTGATTGAATAGTTTGGGTGAATATAGTGTCACCCTTTCTGACCTGATCCTCGCTGTATCTTAATAGGCTCCGTTTGTTCAACTATTTTTAATGAATGTTGTTGCTTGAGCATATATATTGGAAATTAAGTCCGTATATCTATAGTCTATTCTCCTATTTTCTATGGAGTTTTTTACCTGTTCAATGTTCCACCTTATCGATTGCTTTTTCAAAGTCTCACAATGTCCTATACATTGGGATTTGATATTCGTTGGCCTTTTCAATTAATATTTTATCGTAAGCAGATGGTTGCTTTGTACTGAATCCTTTTCTAAAACCGGCTTGCTCTCTTGACTGGTAATTATCTAGCTTAGTTGTTTCATACTCTTGACTTACCATTTAGAAAATAGGTGCCTGGACTTAGTTTTAGTTATTAGTAATAAACTTACTAGGAGCTAATAGTCATTCGACTAAAACTCATGCTCTTGTATAGTTCTCTTATATTATGTTTGTTTAACAAAAGTGCTAAGTGTTACTTGTTTGTATGTAACAGAATGTATTTTAAAACAAATAAAAAAACGTAATATTACAAAATTTTACAAGTTTACAAAAATCTGTTGTTAACAGTTTTATTATTTAAATAGGACTTTCATATATGGTTTTTTTTCTTTATAGATTTTCATGTCTATAAAATGAATTGATCTTACCTGTCCATTACAACGGGTGAGTCATGAAGCATGCTTTGTACTTCTAGTCCTCCGATGTAGTTTCCAATGGCTTGGTAAGCCATGTCCAATTCCGTACTATTACGCAATGCCCACCGCAATGCTTTTACTTGTTCTGGAGGAGAATGGATTTGTTTTGCATTTAATTTATTTATTAAAGCAGTTACAACAGTGGTTTTACCTAAAATACAAACAATTCATGAGAAAACATACCTTGAAAGCTTTTTTAACTGTATTTGTGTAACAATTCCATCAGTTAAAAGAGTAGGTGTAATTAATTTGCAAAAAAAGGAGAATAATAGGATATTAAATAAATATCACATGTCCAAGGATATATTAAAGATGGTGAATTATTTTAAAAAACAGAATCTGACATCATGAACTGTTAAATAATTCAAAAATTCTAGCGGCACAATATTAAAGAGACGCAATTCCAATTGCTGCGAAGACTCCACTTAATGAGCTTAACGGGCCACTCATTAAAGGCATTCCAAAGGTAGTATATAAGCAAATATATAACAACTTTAAAGACAGAACAGAAGTTGCTTGCTGTGTACTCTACAGATAGCACCACCCACTTTATAAAGTATAGCACCAAAATCAGAAGATAAACGAAAGTTAGATATAAACGAGTTTATTTTTTCTAAATGTCTCATGGTCGATTTTTCATGAGTAAATAAATAAAGCACCAATACGTTTGAGATTTAATGTTAATACAGAGCTCCTGCCGTCAGCGTATACGTACTTTGGCCTTATTAGGTCTCTCCAGAACTACGTATGTAGATGCTCTAAATTAAAAATTTATAAAAAGATGGAGAGATTTATTTGCAACTCATAGTTTCTGTAGTTGCTCTGAGAAGACCTGATAAGGTTAAAATATATATGAGTGGATGGCAGGAGCCTTGCATTAAAATTAAATCTCGAACATATTTCTATTTTATTTATTTACTTAGTAAAAACACTGTATGTTATTTTGTTTTAGAATATATCTTTTCCTGCTCTAATTAATGTTCACCTTTTACGCGTTTTCTGTCCATTTGTAGTAAAACAAAGATCAACCAATAACAAAGATTATGTGTTATGCATATTAAAAAGTTTCCACCAACTTCCAAAGTTCCAAACTTCCAAAGTTGGTTACTATTTATAACTGGGAATAAGCCACAATTAAAGATAAAAATACGTTTATTGACGCTTCAATAGGCGCAATAGGTTCAAGAGGAACTAAAGGCTATAAGAACTTTAAAAAATGACAACTCCATAATCATCCTACCAGCAGACAAGGGGAATGCAACTGTAATAATGATAAAATTCAATACGAAAATAAAATTAAAGAATCTATTAATAAACGGACCTTATACAAAAATTAACAAAAGATCAACAAAGCCTTTGGAAAACAAAATATATGGAACTTTATTCAAGTTTAAAGATGTTTTAACAAGTTATCAGAGTAGGATTAATTACACCTCATTACAGTAAGACTCCTCATTTTATGGAGTACCGAAAATTCATAAAACGAATATACCACTTAGACCCATTTGTAGTACCATGAATTCTCCTTGTAGTGAACTATCAAAATTTTTATTAAATATTTTAAAACCTTATACAAATAAAAATGACACATTCATAAAAAATACACAACATTTTTTAAAATAAATTATCAAATATTGAATTTAATTCAAATAATACTTTGGTAAGTTTTGACATAAATAGTTTATTTACGAATGTGCCATTAAATAAGACTTTAAGTATAGTCAAGACAAAATTAGAGAGTGATGATTCATTGGCAACTAGAACAAGACTAAACATATCGGCTATAATGGAGTTATTAACATTATGTACTGATAATACATATTTTCAACTAAATAATGAATTCTATAAACAAAATTTTGGTCTAGCAATGGGCTCTAGTTTATCTCCATTCTTAGCCGATATATTTATGGAAGATTTTGAAACAAATATCATTTCTAAACAAAATTTCAAACCCACAGTATGGTGGAGGTATGTAGATGATGTATTCTCAATATGGCCTCATGGATCAGAGTTGTTGGACACATTCCTAAACGATATAAACGATAAAGAAGAGACAATAACATTTACCATGGAAAAGGAATATAATAACACGCTACCTTTCCTGGATGTTTTAATCTCTAAGAACGATACTGGATATGAGACTCAGGTGTATAGAAAACCAACACACACCAATAGATATTTAAATTTCAAATCAAATCACAATATTAATGTAAAAAAGGGAATAATTAAATCCTTATACGATAGAGCCAAAATTACTTGTTCTAACGAAAATTCGTTCTTGGAGGAGAAACATTTGTTAACATCTGTTTTATTAAAAAATGATTATCCTTTATCGTTTATAAATAAGGAATTTTCAACAATCGATCGAATAGAACAGAACAACTTAGAACGAGATCCTACAGCATACACAAGGAATAATATGAGGAAAATAACAATACCGTACATAAAAGGATTATCAGAAAAACTTAAAAGGATAGGAAATAAATTCAACATTTCAACAACATTCAAAACAACAAACACGTTGAGATCTATTTTGTCCAAAACCAAACCTAACAATGAACAAGAAAGGACAAAGAATTGCATTTATAAAATACCTTGTGAATGCGATCAGTTTTATTTAGGTGAATCATCAAGGCCATTAAATGTTAGAATAAGTGAACATCAATCTTATATTAAAAATAGAGAATTTGATAGATCTCAAATATGTAAACACGCATGGGATAATGAACATAGGGTTCAATGGAATAATTCAAATATAGTCCTAAAGAAACGGATGGTAAAAAAAGAAAAATCAAAGAAGCGGCTCTAATTATGCTAAATGAGGCCAATTGTGTCGCAAATTCCTCGGCAGAATGTAGTAGGATCTGGTTACCAATATTGAAAGAGGAAGTTATTAATAAGAAAATACCAGTATTAGTAAGTCAGTAACATATAGAGGATACATCATTTATGTTTTTTAAATAACGTAACATATAAAATCAGAATTTTGATGTTTGTTGAAGGTAAACTAAATTCACGAACAAATACTTACAATGTCGGGATAGTATTATGAGGTTTTTTTCCTGGTTTTTCCCTCATAATTTACTATGGAATCACTAACAGGAGAATTTTACTGTCATCATGTCATGTGTTTGTCTTTTTAAAGACGAATTACATGCTATGATTTTTTCTGACGGATATTCTCAAGTTAAAGTTGATTTCATGTAATCGAATGAACTATCTTATAAGTAAAGTCGTCCCAGGAGCGCAACTCAACAATATTGGCAATATCATTTTAAAGTCGTCTACTTTAAAATGCATAATGTATGTCTGAATTGTCAATATAAATGAGTCAGATAAAATTAAATTATTAGAAGAATTTTTTCACTATGTAACAAAAAACAAAATTTGTTTAATTTACTGTTTGTATTTTGAGAACGATTTCCGAATTGGAAATTGAAACGTCAATAAACGTATTTTTATCTTTAATTGTGGCTTATTCCCAGTTATAAATAGTAATTAATTTACAATGCCACAAGAAAATTGCTTCAGAAAAACAATTCCCAGTTTGGTTGGAAAAAATTATTTACAGTAGAACTTATCTCGTACGTTATAAATAAGTAAGTGTTCTAAGACAATTAGTGATTTGAAACAGTAATTAAACTTATAATTGACTATTGATCTTTTTTTTTTCGACCATATAACTAATATATTTACGCAACTTTGATTAAAGGGAAACTTGAAAACTTAAAGCCAGTCTTGTACATGTGTGATTAACTATTTGTGTCATCTGACAAATGTATGTCAGATGACACCTGTGGCATCTATCGATAGTAATAATAAGCTTTAATAATATTATATAATCATGTTATTACCTGTTCCAGACATTCCCTCTATAACAATCAATGGATACTTCTTTGAATTTCCTAGAGCTTCTATTTGCTGTTCTCTTTCTTTAGCTTGATGGTATTGTTCAAGTAGCTGTTGAACATAGATGTTGGTTTTGTACTAAAACAATTAAAAACAAAATTTATATTATACCTGCTAAAATACTAGATATAGTGATAAACTTTTTGAACATGCGAAACTTATAGTTTAAATTTATATTCATGGGATTTTTAGGAAGTGCTGAAACATTCGATTTTTATTCCAAAGAGGATGTAAACCCCCATGTCTCTAATAACATCTTTGTCAACGTTGTTTTACTTGCAATTCTTCGAAGGTACAGAGTTAAAGCAGAAATCTGAATTTGGTTTCGACAATTTAGTTTCCGGATTTTTGATCAGATGTCGCTATTGCGTCATGTCGAAGTCATTTTAGTGTTGCTTCTAATTAATTAAATTATATTTTAAAAAACTGGGAACAATATTAAAATATATTTTATTTTAGTAGATTTCTCCCTTGAGAATTGTGTTATTTTGTTTTTAGAAAAGAAATAGGTATAATATTATGTTACGATACATTATCTGACATGAAACGATTTTATTTTTAATTTCATACTGCCACCCCATGCTGTGTGTATCGAAGATAAAGCGGAAGGGCTCCATTTACCACAGACTTTTACCAGATGTAGTGTTTAATTTTATAAAAGTTTCATTTAGTCGTTTATTAGGAGGAACATTATTAAAAAAACAAAAGGAGATGATACAAATTGTATTGTTTGGCGCTTTGCTTGCGCTCTTGTCTGTGATAGATATTCTTCTTCTTTCTTTCGGTGCCCTATTTCGCTTCCGAATATTGGCAAATCGTTCTGGCTATAATTATTTTATTGGTACTGATGCTTTTAATTGGATTCGTTGTGGTTGTGGAAAAACCATTTTCCTCAGGTTTCTTCAACCATGATATTCTCCTTCTCCCAATCCTCGCTTTCCGATATCTTTACCTGCTAGGATTTACCTTCTCGAGTTACTCTGGTATTTTGTGCTGTTTCTTCATTATATTGTCCGGAGAGTATTTCAAACTTTTCTCCTCTTTAATGGTTTATACATCACCTCTCTTCTCTATTCGCCCACTCTTCGTTAATACGGTCTCGTTGAGTTATCTTGTGCTGCTCCTATGATATCCTTAGAATTCGCCTGTATAGCCACATCTCGAAGGCTTCAAGTTTTTTTCTCCATTGCTTCAGTTAGTGTCCAGGATTCAACTCCGTAATACCAATATTGAGAAGATATAACATCGTAGGAGCCTTACTTTATCTCCAGATAAAGATTAGTGGCGTTTAAAGAGTATTTGGCCATGTTATTGAACTGAACTCTAGCCTTCTCTATTCTACATTTTATATTCCTGTGAGTGATCCCATAGTTCATTTACTGTTGTTCCAAGATGTTATACTGTTTTACTCGGTCCACTGGTGTATTATTTGATAAGTAGTTGAGCGTCTCTAACTTTATTTTTGCTGATGATCATAAATTTAGTTTTTGTTTATATTTACTTGAAGTCCAAATCTTTCACTTACTTCATTTTACTTTGTTTATTAGTTGCTGTTAAACCGTTCAAACTGTCTGCAAAAATAACGGTGTCGTACTGCATAGACGGAATGTTGTTTAGGCGTTCTCCATTTAGAAGTATTCCATGTTCGCATTTTTCCAAGGCTTCACTAAATATTTCCTCTGAATATAGATTAAATAATATAGGTGAAAGTATACAACCTTGTCTAACGCCTCGTAGAATCTGGATCATTTCCGTTGGTTCACCTCCAAAATTCGTTCTTATTGTGGCTGATTGGTTCCAGTATAAATTTTGTATTATACGCCGATCTTTATCATCCATTTGGGCTTTTGTTAGAATATCCATCATTTTTTGGTGTTGAACTGTATCAAATGCTTTTTGGTAGTCCACAAAGCAGGTATAAATATCGCAAGTCATATCTCTGCATCTTTGAAATAATACTTGTAGACTAAACAGTGCATCTCTTGTACCTACGCCTTTCATGAATCCAAACTGTGTTCTTGTATTCTCTCTTCGCATAGCTTGTATATTCTACGATGTATAATTTTAAGAAAAAGTTTAATGTATGGCTCTTAGACTACTTAGCCTATCTGTTCTCCGCACTTTTTGCTCCCTGTTTCTTTGGTAAGGTAATAAATTCTGAAAGTAGCACAATCTTTGGGATATTGCCTGTGTCATAGATATTATTGAAGATTTTACATAGTACTCTTAAGATTCATCATCAAGAAGTTTAAGAAATTCAGATGTACTCCGTCTGGTCCTGGAGCTCTACCTTCTTTTAGTGATATTATGGCTGCTCTTATTTCTGCCACTAGTATAGGTGGTCCTGTTTCCCGTAGGTATTGGGGGCTGGTTCTCTCTTCATCAAAAAATAAATTTTTATGTAATTTTTCCAGGTTATCATTGATACTCTCTTTGTCCACGATATATCTCTCCATTGTCATTAACAAGTTTACTTATTCTTCTGTTTTTACATTTACCTGTAATTTCTTCTTACCTTTTATGCACGTTGAGCGTCGTCGTTTATTTTACTTTGGGAGATTTCGATTTCTTGGCAATTTTTTCCAGTTCTTTCTGTTTGGCTTCTTGATCTATTCTCTGTATCTCTCGCTGTAATGTTTTATACATGGAGTTATCGTTTTGTTTTTCTTCTTTCTTCCATTATGTTGCAGAATCTCTGTCTGCATCCAATGTCTTATATTCTTCTTTCTTCGTTCGTGTCTTCATTTTATTTTAACAAATTGTTTTCTTTCCTTTTAATGTCCGAGTGTCTATTGTTTTTTCTTATCAGGGAGAGAGAGATTCTATCTTATCTTCTGTAGCTGCTTTCCGTATGAGTTAATTATCGATTTCTCGTTAAATTTTCTCCTATTTAATGTTTTGCTGAGACTATTTCTTTTACTTCGCTACACTTTCAAGAGTATTTTATCTCATGTCATGTTTTTTTTTGTACAGTTTTTCCCCGCCGTATATTTTCTTTTCTCTTTTAAGCTTAGTTCTATACACGCCCCACTAAACGGATTGTGGTCAGAATTAGATTGAATATTCAGCGCCTGGGTAGGTTTTTAACACTGTGAAACTGGATAGATATTTAGGATCATTATATTTTACTATATTAACCCACCATATAATTAAAATTTTTTTTTTGTTTTTCTACACGTAAAAGCTCAATTAAAAAAAAAATAAACAGGAATATATAAATTAAAAGGTAAATACAGTACAACAAACGAGAAGTGGCTTGTTGTGTGTTAACCAAATTTTATATTATCGCTTAATGCTTTAATTCATTGTTCCCTAATCTTTTAAGCGGAAGAATTGAGCTCTCGTAACGTTTTAAAATCCAATTGCAGTTGTTGTCAAGTAAGGTGAAATGGGTTAAACTGGTGGTTTGGGGTAATGTGGCACCCATTTAATGTTTTTAATCAACAAGATCTTATAAAGTTTACGTACAACTTGTTTAATCTCTCTTGGTAGTAACTAAGTTAGAAAGTCTTGAGACATCAGCTACCAAAAATAAAATTTCAATTAGCACTAAAACTGCTGACTGTCAAGTTTTAATCTAAGTAAATTGGTGTGGTGTTGGAGTTAAGTTTTAAAAAACTTGGTTTCAGTCAGAAGCAATGCTAATTTTCAATAAATGCTTCTGAAAGTAAACTTCATGCGCCATCTAGCGGCTGAGTAACCGGAGTATGAGAAGAATTATACACCTCAATTGGTAGATTAAGAAGGAGGTCCCAATTACCAGACTGACCATGATCGGTTCAGCTGTGGACGCCGATACGGGGGAACTGTGGTTCTAAAGTTTTACTTTAGTTTGTTTATTAAAAACTTCTGTTATACCTCTATTCTTTGGGTGAAAAAATGGACAAGAAATTATATTAAAAGGCTATCATCGTGTGTCGGAGAGTAGGTATTTATAGAAGCATTAGAACTGGCTAAATAAGAGATTTGATCAGGAAAATCTTCCACTTAAGAATGCTGCAATGGAGAATGGTCGTACCAAAAATCTACACTCAGATTAAAAGTGAAATGGGTGGAAAGGTAGACCAGCGGAAGGACATGCACACAATATAATCAACAAAAATTCCTGGTACATACTAATTTTACTTTTTAAAACAATGAAAATTATTACAGGGTTTTGAATGGAGGTGGTTTAGAAACTATCCTTTCTCAAGAAGATGAAGACTTTTTGGCTTCTCGGATAAAAACTATAAGTAAGTGGGGGTTTGGACTATCTCGTAAACAAATACTCTACACTGTACAGGTATATGTTCAGTAAAATAATTTGCAAATTCCCTTTGAGAGGGGAAGCCTGGTGAAGATTGGTTTCGGAATTTTTCACACGCAACCGACTTTCTATAAAAAACCTCGATAATTAATGATCACGTGGTAAGACAATAAAAAGTGAACATTTGTTGCTTACAATTTCTTTGATCAACTGGACCTATTTTGAATAATTTACAACTTCTACAATACCTGATAGGATATGAGGGGGAAATATTTTGTTTTTAATGCCTATGAAACGTGGGCTTTTTAATGCTGACCCCAGCTGTACTAAGTTGTAACTGGAATCGGAGAAATGCACATAGGAAAACTGCACACTCAGGAGAAAACTACAACAGTTTTAGATGTGCTATACCAACAGATCCTATGCCACCTATGACCTCCATAGGGCAAAAGGTTTATGGGACAATATGTTTTGCGTATATATGAGTATCCTGAAAGACATTCTTACTAAAGTATCCGGAAAAAAATGGTTGAATGCTGAGCAAGTTATTTTTTCTTTGATTCAAAATGTTTTTTTAATTGGCGTTTGAAAAGCCTGATCTTTTGATTTACCGATGGTGCACACCCCCCCCCCCCCCCCCCCCCCCCCCCCCCCCCCGCCGTACCGGGGGGGGGGTCATTTCATCGCATATTTCACCCGAACTGATTGCGTTATCCTGCAGAATATGTGACTATTCATCCAGCAGGAAGATTCTTCAAAGTGACGTCCTTATTTTAAATAGCTTGAGAACCTTCTTGTGTTTGTGGAGATTTATGTAAGTACCTCTTTGTTTCTCAGTTCTCAAAATAAACCCTGAGTAGCTGTTCGCAGACGTTTCGGTTTGTTTTGCTTACCCTATCTCTAGCCTTGTAGTTTCTGTCCCCAATTTTTAATCTCCATAGTAATACCCTGTGGTAGGCAAAATAATCGTTACAATTTGACCGTATTATTAGAAAAAATACAGTTAACATTTGATTTCACGTATAGTGCCTCTGTATACTCGCTTATACGTATTTCATCCTAGCAGGAATCATCAGAGCGACTCGTACAGAAGCTCTAAACGTGAATCAAATATTTTCCGTCAAAGAGAGCAACATAAATGACTTCTTATATAGATCTATAGTTCCTCATCTCTATTACACATTCAGCAGTGTCTGTTTTGCTTGCCAATATATAGAAGGCACAGATTAAAGCAAAACTCTGAATTGCGGTTTAGTCAGAGAAATCTTCGATTATATTACTATTTAACTGGGAATAAGCACAATTACAGATGATAAACAATTTGTTTATTGACGTTTCAAATTCCACTTCCGGAATTTCGTTCTCAAAATACAAACTAGTAAATAAAAATACAAATTTTGTTTTTGTTACATAGTGAAAAATTCTTCTTAATTTATTTTTGATCATCATTTATAGTAATAGGACGACTTTATAAATGATATTGCCATATTGTTGAGTTGCGCTTCCTGGGACGACTTTACTTATAAGATAGTTCATTCGATTACATGAAATCAACTTTACTTGAGAATATCCGTCAGAAAAAAATCATAGCATGTAATTAGTCTTTAAAAAGACAAACACATGACATGATGACAGTTAAAATTCTCCTGTTAGTGATTCCATAGTAAATTATGAGGGAAAAAAAAACCAGTAAATAAAACCTCATAATACTATCCCGTCATGGTAAGTATTTGTTCGGTGCATTTAGTGTTACCTTCAATAAACATCAAAATTCTGATTTTTATGTTTCGATTATTTAAAAAACATAAATGATGTATCCTCTATATGTTACTGACTTACTAATACTGGTATTTTCTTATTATTAACTTCCTCTTTCAATATGGGTAACCAGATCCTACTACATTCTGCGAGGAATTTGCCGACACAATTGGCCTCATTTAGCATTAATTAGAGCCGCTTCTTTGATTTTTCTTTTTTTACCATCCGTTTCTTTTAGGACTATATTTGAATTATTCCATTGAACTCTATGTTCATGATCCCATGCGTGTTTTCTTATTTGAGATCTATCAAAATTCTCTATTTTTAATATAAGATTGATGTTCACTTATTCTAAATTTAATGGCCTTGATGATTCACCTAAATAAAACTGATCGCATTCACAAGGTATTTTATAAATGCAATTCTTTGTCCTTTCTTGTTCATTGTTAGGTTTGGTTTTGACAAATAGATCTAACGTGTTTGTTGTTTGAATGTTGTTGAATGTTGAATTTTTTCCTATCCTTTTAAGTTTTTCTGATAATCCTTTATGTACGGTATTCGTTAATTTTCCTCGTATGTATTCCTTGTGTTGCTGTACGATTCTCGTTCTAAGTTTGTTCTGTTCTATTATCGATCGTTTGTGTGGGCAAATTCCTCGGAAGAAATGTAGTGGATCTGATTACCAATATTGAAAGAGGAAGTTATTAATACGATATACCAGTATTAGTAAGTCAGTAACATTTAGAAGATACATCATTAATGTTTTTTAAATAACTGAAACATATAAAATTTCAGAATTTTGGTGATTATTGAAGGTAAATAATGCACGATCATAATTCTTACCATGTCGGGATAGTATTATGAGGTTTTTTTTCCTGTTTTTTCCCTCATAATTTACTATGGAATCACTAACAGGAGAATTTTACTGTCATCACATGTCATGTGTTTGTTCCTTTTTAATAGGCGATTACATGCTACGATTTTTTCTGACTGATATTTTTTGAAGTTAAAGTTGATTTCATGTAATCGAATGAACTATTTATACAAGTAAGTCGTCCAGTGAGCGCAAACTCATCAATATGGCAATATCTTTTTAAAGTCATCTACTTTAAATTTCATAATGTATGTTTGAAATGCGTCAATATAAATGAGTCAGGATAAAATCGTAAAAAATTTTTGCTAGAAGAATTTTTTCTCTACGTAACAAAAAACAAAATTTGTTTAATTTACTGTTTGTTATTTTGGAAACGATTTCCGAAGTGGAAATTGAAACGTCAATAATCGTATTTTTATCTTTAATTTGTGGCTTATTCCCAGTTTAATAGTAATTAATTTACAATGCCACAAGAAGAATAGCTTTAGAACAATATTAAGAAATCTTTGAATTTGGTTTTTTGTACTTTGGTGATGTTTGTTAGAAGTTTTGGACATGAGATATTACGACTGCCATCATACGATCGGGATCTAAATTCTATTGGGACAAGTCTGGGTTACACTCAAAAAAGTCGCAGCAATTGGGAGTATCAGTTTTTGATGAAATTATAATTGAAATAAGTGATGATGCAGTAAACAATGATTCTGATTATGACATTAGTAGCTCAAATGGATTATGCAGCAACCAAGAATAACAATTTTTTCGATAGGAAAGTTTAAACTTTACTTCTTTATTTCTTTTGAAATAATAAGTTTAAGTTTAAAATTAACTCACAAGCGAATATTAAATGAGCATGAACATGAATAGGCATTTACCCGCAGTTAACCAGTCACTTCTCGATGATCAAACTCTAGCTAGTAATAAACAAAAATATTTACCTCAGGTTTTCTTAGAAGTTCAAGGACAGATTCCACATCATGATATAAAAGGGGAGGACCGATCACATTGTAATCTGCAAAAAGTTGTAAATAACATTATTATTTTACCAACTGCAATATTTTTTATCACTATGTAGTTATACTCATGGTACAAAGAATAACAGGTTTGGATAATCCCGAGTACGAAATTGGGACGAATTTGCGCATGAGCGTCGATTTTTCGAACTTTTAGATTTTAAAGAAGAAAACCATGAAAATAAATTGGAATTCTGCATTTTTCTACAAGTGGACAATAACCTTTTTAGAATCAGTGAAAGCTCGTTGCTATGTTAGTTATTTTCAGCATTTTAACGATTTTTTTAAAACTTAATGACAAGCTGGAACTATCTAACATAACTAATCCACAAACCGTCTATTTTCTAATGTTTCCCGATTTATCTACACCTTCTAAAAATTCCACACAAGACTATTTTGTAGTTGCATCATAAAGTGATGAGGAACGGATTTATTCGTTTCTTGCGAGTGTACCAAGTACCAAGAATATTTAACACACACTTTATTTCCTATTTAAATTACGAATAATGGGTATTTCTCCCTATTATTAAAGCGATTGTAATCTATTGGAAAATACCTAGAACAATTAAATGAAATTGTATCCAGAATACAAGCATTTACTGTAGCGTTTTTATTTCGATTTTCTATAAAAAATATGCAAAAAATTTTTATTATATATGTTATATATTGACAGTGGCATAAAACACGCAAAATATGCTCTGTGCATTTTTGTCTAAATCTAATAATCAGGAATCACTATCAAATTAATTGAATCAAAGTAAAAAAGAAATTGTTTACGATGGAATTATCAAATAACCTATATCTAAAAACCATTAAAAACGTATGACAAAATAACTTTATGGCTTTTTACTTGGTCTCAGAAACTGATGCTCTTATTCGTTTGAAGCATTAATTGATCTACTTAAATGCTAAACACTGAGAAATAAATTGAAGTAAGGTAGTGTTGAAGAAATAAGAAAATCCTAAGAGATTCTTTAGTTTAGTTTCTGAGCCTGACATTAAAGAGATGTTGAAAATTAAATCTGACAGTCTGACAAAATATTTAAAAATTTTTTTTGTGATATTACATAGCTTTTGTACTAGGAGCCTATTATTTTTATAAAGGTAGATTGAAGATTTCTTTAAAGGTTCAAATATAAATTATGGTACCTTTAGAGAATCTTTTATTTTAGTATCAATGCAAATAAAAAGAAATTCCTGACAAGTATTCATTTAAATTTAAATTATGGACAAATGCTAAACTCAATTATTTTCTTAAAGTTAAAATTCAATAGAGTAAATTTGATTAATATAATTATATATATACATATTATATATATATATAAATAGTATAATATATATATAATATATATATATATATAATAGAGAAAATCAAACAGCCAAAATTTATCGAGACGAGTAAGAATTGGGATGGACAGCGTTCGGGCAAACTTTCTTAAGATCTAAAAAATTCAAACCAATCCCTCTTACTCTACGAAGCAGTATATAAAAACTCCTGTATCTACCGGTGATCACCTACGGAGCACAGACAGAGACATTTACACAGGCCAAATTTGGATAGGATAAGGAAGGCACAAAAAGCGATGGAGAGACAAATGTTGGGTGTATCACTTAAGATAGAAAAACGTAACAGTGGATCAGAACCAGACAAAGACAGTAGACGCGATAGAAACAAGCAGTAAACTGAAATGGAAATGGGCTGGACACAATGAGCGTCTCCAGAGACGGAGGCGATGGAACAATGCCGATCGGGAAGAGTGGCGTCGCATACAATGCAAAGAGATCATAGAGGCAGACCACAAGATGAGGGTGGAAAGATGGACATCTGGAGAAAACTAAGGAGGTCCCAACATGGGCAGAGAACGCTCAAGATAGGGAAACGATAGGAGTGTACTGGGGGGAGACCTATATCCAACAATCGGAAGGATAGAGATTGGGGTTCCAAAAAAAATTGAATATTGTAAGAGTTTCTCAGGTATTTATGGTTTAACCGACGCGCGCTCGCTTGTGACACCTGGTAACCACACCTTTTAACAAATTTTTTAACGCACTGACCCAAATAATGCCCCTCAACTGCCAACTAAATTTCTTGATACTTTTAGTTATCAAGAAGTATCAGTATCCAAGTATCCAAGATCGCTGAACAGTCCAAGAAAATAGCCAAAATCCAACATCCAAGTTGGAAGAAGTTGAAGAAATATAATGTGTTTATTTCGAGAATAAACATTTTGATGGTTGCCCAGTTATAGAGATTTTTGATATGTAAATTTTGTTTATTTCTTCATGTAAGTAACGTGACACGATTTTGGATGGTTGCTTACTATGGGATGGATACTTGGATGGATAAATGACATTTTACAACCTAAGAAAGGCTTAATGGGCAATTTTGATAAACTCGTGTGAAAGTGCGTCATGAGAGACTAGAAGAACTTCCAATACGTATAAAAGGAAAAGAAAAAAACTCAGTTTTCCCAGCAGGCAACAACCAATAGACGGATCGATGATAAGGTTCAAGGGACAAAGTTGTTTTTGCCAAATATCTGCCAAATAATGTCCATAATAAGGGGATATAATAAGGAAGTATATATAAGGTTCTGGGTACGTCGCTGATTCAGCGCAGATATGTTTCACAAT